CGATCTTCTCAGATTTGCATGAAAATTTCAATAATTGTTTTTTTTATCATCATTTGTGCGAAAATTTGGCCATTTTGAATATCGCAATTTCGATCAAAATTGTGTATTAAACATTTTCAATAAATCGTAGCACGAAAACGTCACTTCTAATATGACACCTGAAACAAAGTTGTTGGAGAAAATAATGTCTTACTAGGTTATACACACAGTAAATTTATTTTAGTAATTTCGAGTCAAAATACAAAAAGATTGTTAAAAACTTAAATCACAAAAATGACCTTGTTCAATATTTCTGAAGTAAAACAAATAAGCATATGACCATGCTTGGCATGCCAAGTTGTACACAACAACTGCTCATTTGTTAATAACTTTTCACTCAGTTTTTAAAATTTATTTTTCTTTAAAGTAATTGATATATTAGGATCATAGTTTACTATGCAAAGAGTATGTAAATCTTAATATTTGAACCAAAACCAATGAATTTTTACACTTAAAGTTCGAGATGTGCAGCGAGCATTTCTCACTTCATTTTTACAACGCAAAAACAAATATAGTTTATTACTAGAATTAAAATGAACTTTTTGTTACGTTTATATAACAAACTAACTCTATTCTATCAACTGCTTTAAAAAGAACTATGTTTCGTCAAATCTGTGCAAAGTTATAAGCAAATGAGCACTTCATGACCAAAATTGTGCATGCCAAGCATGCATATGACAAATACAAACTTTTAAAATTTATAAAACCTTGGACACAAAAAATAGACAAAAATAGTACAACATTGGTAACTTTTTAAACTTTTTGTAAGTTCGTTTTTTTACAATTAGAGAGAAAACTCTCTACAACTCGATATCGAAGGAAGCATCGAGTTATAGAACAACAATTCGATGGGTAACTAATCACCATCGCAGTAGCCATCATTTCTAGAATGGTTTTTTAAAACGCTGGCCAATCTGAGTAGTTATACCATGTAACTCTTTTCGTTTTTTTGTAAAAAGCTTTTTTTCGATTAAATCTAACTAAAGAAATAATTAATTTTATTATTATGTTAAATTTGCAAGAATTAATGAACGGTTACAAAGCCTGGCTTGATGACATTTTTCTTGTCTATAATTATTAGTCACTGTAGTCTGACGTGATATCGAGTTAGTGGATATCGAGTTTTGTAGAGTTGACTGTATATTATAATTCTTGCACAGAAAACAATATTTGAGTCCGTTTGATCGTTTTCAACCAAAACAGTACAATTAGTTGACAAAAAGTTGTTGCAAATTTTTATGTGTCAGAGATTTTTTTCCTTGATTTGCTTTCCGTCGATCTCGTTTTCCGTACTGAGTACCTATGCTACCGACGCTATGGAGGCAGCTCCCACACCTGAATCCTACCGGAACCGGGCTTTACTTCCCTGGCGCTGACCGGGATTGAACCCAGGCCTTTTGGGGTGAATGTCAAAGTTTTTTAATATTCTAAAGGTTAAAATTTTCAAATTTTTTTAAAGCATCAAAATTATTGAACAAGGACACATTACATCCATTTCCCTTATATGATGTAAGTTTTTAATACTTTTTTGAATTTTTCCCTACAACTTGATCTAAAACGATTTATTGAATAATGTCACGATTTTGATAGAACACAAATAAGATTCAAAATGGTCAAATTTTCACGCAAATGTTAATGATTGCCTAAATTAAACAATTATCCAAAGTTTCATGCATATCGGAGAAGGTTAAGTCAGATCGATTCATTCTTTTCCGTGGAACTGCTCTAAGTCAGTTAGTAACTTAGACAAATAAATAGGATTTATGTCCTTAATGTCAGCCTGAACGCCGCTAATATTGTACCCATGCTTACATGTAAAACCAATTTCTCTCCAATGTAAGGTTTGGATTTATTACATCCACTGCATACGTTTCATACAACAAATGTCATGGCACTTCTTGCAATGGATTTTTTTTTTTTGCAGAATGCATGTTTTGAATAAAACCTTCACGAGATGATGTTCTAGACGTAATGCATTTGAGGAAACAAATTTTGTTTCGAAAAATAAGCTGACAAAAAATTACAAAATTATTTTAAAAACCTTCCGACGACCACATTATAGAATCTGCTCCTGTCACGGAACATTGTAAATTCATCTGAATAGATCTATAAGTAAACATTGAAGGCATTTCCCCTACCTAAATTTTACTAAATTTATCCACATAATTGACGACATTGGCAGAGAATAAATATAGTAGATGGATAGCAAACTTTTAATGTTGCTACGGAAATTTAAAAAAAATGCTGGTATTTTGCCGACAAACTGAGCTCTCTATTTAACCATCCAAACGAGCAGAACTGTTTCTTTTTCAAACAATGTCAACAACTAAATCAAATGAAAATGAAATCATTTTGGGTAATTCGTCAATTCGCTCCATAATCAGTTTTTTTTTTCGTTTCTTTCACGTCGAGGCGGCTAGTACGAAGGCGACAACAAATGTACCATTGATAGTTTTTTACAAATATTGATGGCAATTTGGCAAAATAGCAAAAATTAATTTAATTTCAGACTCGACATTCTCCGATTTGCATGAAACTTTGCATAATTGTTTGTTATGATCAATAATTCACATTGGAGCTAAATTTCGGCCAGTTTGATAATGCTCTTTCAAGGGTCAAAATTATATTTTGGACGCGATTCGCACTGACAAACACGAAACAAAATAAAAATTGCTCTAGAACCTCTCATAGAACATTCCGGAACTAGCCTAGTATGACAGGAGCGAATCAAAGCTTTCGTTTGGTGGGTGTTTCAGCGACACTGATTTGTTTGAATAAGGTTTTCTTTCCGAGACACCGTGTTGGACCACATGTTAATAAACAAAAATCATTGAGCAAAAACATTTGGAAATTTCGTTGACTTTTGAAACACACAATTTTTGAGAAATTTAGCACATAAAAAAAATTAAAAAGCTATTTATTATTATTTCTTGTGTTGCATAATAGACATAATAATTAATAATAAATTAAATGAAAGTTCGATGCATTACGGTGTATATGACAGTATGCAGTGTATATGCAGTATGCAATTTATTAATTCTAGCATAACATGCGAAAAGGGTCTAACAACAACGCTCTTTTCGCACAAACCAAAGCTCCCCCACGCAAACCAAGAATAACAAAGATTTTTGTTCATTTTCAAGTGTTCAATGATTCAAAAATAAGCATTTTTTTTTTAAATAAAAATAATCAAAAATGTTAAATAATGATTTTTTTTTTGTAATTTAAGTTTTTAACACATTTTTGAATTAGGTTACCCAAAAAAATTCTTGTGTATATTTGCCCTATAAAGGCTTTATTTTTTTCAATAACTTTTTCTCAGACTTCATTTCGATTAGAAATGACTTTTTCATACTACAGCAATGACCCGATTTTGTTTAGCCCCCTTAAAGATGGATGTATAAGGTATACTTTGGTGTAATAAGACCACTGAAAACGCACATGGGTTTCGTAGAACATTAGAAAAGATTTTCGGCAAAATTTGGTAATTGCTGTATTTATTTATTTTTTAATGTCGAATACCACATTAGCCAAATATTACAAGATTCAAACAATTATGTAAGGTTTGATGCAAATCGGAGGAGGTCATGTCTGATTTTTATTTGCTATATATTAAAACTACTTTAATATGATCTTTCGACCGTTGATTTCAACCAAACAATGTTTTTTTTTTATTGGTATGCTATTATAGCTAAACCCTGTTAAGGTTGGCGTAAAGTTCTGGATTATTTGAAGTAATATATGACTAATGCCATTGAAATGTTTTTGGCACTCTTTATTTCTCTTAACGATGTGAAGAAACCCTTAAAGATAATGTTTGAGTCCAATCGAATTGGAAAATAAATCGATTGAATACTTCCTGCTGTCCCATTATGCACTATGAACGTGATGCCAAGGAAATGAAAACCAGAAACTTCCAGACAGCAATTTAAAATTATTTTATGCGGCAATAGTGAAAAGATAAGGAAAGATGTTGCATCGTATTTAATTTCCTCCTCGCTTTTGTGGAATGAAATATGTACATGCAACGTCACAAAGTATTACGTTTTTTGCAACCGTTCCAAATACTTTTGAGGGCATCGAATGCAAAAGCTGATTCATATAACTACATACTACCGAACCGAAGGTATGCAACGGAAGACCTCAAAACTTCAGATGGCTCCGGTCGGAAACTTGCGATTTTTACGTACTAATGCGAGATTTCCAACGAAATTGCCGAGACAGAAAGATCGCGCGCCCATGGCTGGGAAGCGAGGAAAGCAGCAGACAGCCGCAAAAGCGAGAAAAAGAGCGCTCGGAAAGCGCCAAAAAGAGAAGAATAAATCATCCGAAATGGGAAATTTTGCCCACAAGAACGAAAACGGATGGACGGACAGACAAAAAAAATAAAAGCACTGCCTCGCGTGTATGTACGGATGTTGATCGAAATGTTCCGGCCATTGCAAATCTCCCGGCCGACTCGAGTGAAGAAATCTTTCTTGGAAAAACGTTCGGCACCAATCAATTCTTAATGCAATCGAATTTCATTTCACTGCGGCTACTGCTTTTGGTCCGTACAGCATCCGTATTCGATAGGCTAGTCGGGTCCAGAAGCAGGTGTCTTTGACTGCTTGTATGGACTTCTTTATAGACAGGCCTATTAACCATATAGCGAAAGACAAGGCGTAATATCTAACAGTATGTATTTTTTATATAGGTTGCAACATGTCAACTAAGGAGGACTTGGCATGGCAGCAAAGCAACGCGTACCGGCCATCAGACGACGTTGTTGCAAGAAATACGCCTAATCATCTTCTTCTGCGGGATGCCGTTTTGCAGACGACGTGATTATAAATTATGCAGATATTGGTTATCACGCTGCATCGCTGTGCAGAGTGGAATGCATCAGAAGCAAGGAGGATAGCAGGCAAAACAAGCGAAAAAGAGTATCTAGGCAAACGACTTCAACAAACATTACTTACCATATGCCATTTCGCAGTAACATTTTGTTCAAATCCTTTAAAATGACTGGTCCGTTATACAAACTTCAATAGAACAGGTTTTAAAGCACACACGATGTTCAGTATGCGAAATCGAATTTTTAATTGCAGATAAACACTATCGTATTCTTCTGACACAATGATTATTCTCGTACAGAACGTGGAGATGGTGCACACTCAAAATATGAAAGATTCAAGCCACTTAGATTGTTTGAACTTTCCCACAAAAATACCACACTACTCGATTAGAACAGGTTAGACAATTATCGTCATCCCTTGGATTTCACCTCTCTTCATATGTACGCACAAGCAGCTAGGAGAAGAGCTTGTCGAGACTTCACACACTTGTATGCAGAATGGTTCGGGTCGGAAAATGCCGGCTAAGTACGCGAGGTGCGCATCTATTGAAAGAAACACGTCATAAATGGTCGACGGACTGGCCAAGACTGAACGTTGATTTACTTTTTTGTCTTCCGAGTGAATTTTCATGCACGAGCTGATCCTCAGACCACAACATAGCATAACAACACAGCCCCAACGAGAAGCACAAATAAACGCTGCCAAAGAGAACGACCCCAACGCTGGATTCAGTGGACCATTCACTACACTCCTGCCTATCTCATCCGAACGGCTGCAACGGAGATGGAGTTGGAGTTTATTCACTCTCTTTCTCACTACACCATTTGCTCCATTCACTGTTCTCTATATACTGCATAGAGTATATCAATATAGAGCTGTAAAAAGGGCCTAACAGCTTCTATTAACAATGACTTCTCTCGAAGATTTCTAGGAATTTAAGATTCACCCACGTAAACCAACATCATCATCGGGTAGGGAAAGACTTGGTTTGCGTGGGCGTGTCGTGAATTCCTAGAAATCACCGAAAGAAGTAATTGTTTACAAAAGCTGATAGACCCTTTTCACAACTCTGTATTGATATAGGTAGATTACGGGATTCGGTGGCAAAAGTCACTCCACTCTACAGTAAAGCACACTGGCGTTCAAACGAGATGACGATGACGATGATGGCGGTGGCGGTGTTGATGTTTGAAGCGTGCAGCTCATGAGAGAAAAAAAAACAGCACCATGCTCAATCCACCCACTAGCTACATGTGGATGTTTGGCAGTAATTGATTATTTATTAATGATATGAAAAATTATCCGATGGGATGTTGTTAACTCAACTGTTATCAGGATGCGTCTCAAATTTCATAACGTGCACTTTTAATTGGTATCTTTCGTATCCCCGTACTGACATGTTACCAATGTTACCACAGCCAATGTTACAATGTTACCACAGCCAATCTTCTTGGATTTTAGACAGTAACTAGGAGGTGAACAAATATGAGAAATAATAAGAAAGGTTTCTTGGGAAAAGCAATATAATGATAATTCTATCCACCCATCGCCATCGTTCGGTTGTCATACAACCAATTGAACTGATTCCTTGTAAGTTACTAGTATCAACACAGGTTGAAAAAGTAGTGTAAATTTCAGTTAAATACGATTTACAAAAAGGGGGCATCATACATACTATTGCAGATTATGCACGAGTAAGGACTTCCGGATAAACTGACACGATTGGTCAAGGCGACGATGGATCGAGTGATGTGCGTTGTGCGAGTATCGAGGACACTCTCGAGTCCCTTTGAATCTCGAAGGGGGTTACAGCAAGGTGATGGACTTTCGTGTCTGCTATTCAATATCGCGTTAGAACGAGAAATCAGAAGAGCTGGGATAGTGGCGAGTGGCACGATCTTCAGGAAGTCCATCCAGCTTCTTGGCTTCGCCGATTACATCGACATCATGGCACGGAGCTTTTACTATAGATGTTTCAATTTCTCTAATATCGCTCTATATTTGGTAATAGCGGCCAGAAAGTTTTGAAAATTTTATATGTGGTTTCCATGACAACAATAAACAAGCCTATCGGTGATGTGATGAAATTGGGTTGTTGTCCGGCACATATTCAACTATCAATTTACCCTGTTTTGTAATATTTTTACATTTTTATCATACTTTAATTGTTATCAAATTGGTTCGGTCCCGGCATATTGGTTAGCACCCATGCCTCTCACGGTAAAGGTCACGAATTCCAATCTCATCCCCAGACAAGTGAATGACCTAAAATGTGTAAATGTAACTAATTAAAGTTCCTATGATAATGCTCAAAACTGTATTAAAGGTAGAGAAGTTAAACTATTTATGAATCATATCATCATGGGTCTGGTTTTACAACAGTGAAGAATGCAATTTGATGTATTGAATGACGGATTTTGATCGCTTTATTTGAGGTTATCGAAACATGTGGTCAATGTCGTCCCGGACACTCAATATAACCTATACGACCTAATATGATATTTACATGTAAGTTGATGCGTCACATGATGGAATTTAGCTCAAGTCAGAAGCTGGTGACATCCAAGGAGTACCCTTGACATGTCTGAGTTCGTCTAATGTGGTTCTGAGGATTCAATACCACCCACCATGAGTGAATTGGAGTAAGGTGGGGCAAAAGTTTGACCTTAGATGAAAAAAAAATTAAATTTCTCTAAACAAGCTTTTGGAATTAAACTAATTCGATACACATAATCTTTCATTCAAGGTTTACAACTTTCTCGTACATGGATGATTTTCCTGCAAATTTTTAGATACCCTATGATGGTGTGAAGGACATAAAGAAACCACATATTTGTACTCATAGTTATTGTCAAAACTTGGCGAACACAATAAATACAATATGATCGCAATTTTTTCGAGGTTCGAGGTCACATTCTGCTCCAGTTATGATTTTTTAGAGTAAATAAATACGTTTTAGACATTTTTGAATGATTACATGGGTTAAGCATTCAATTCGAATTTCTTCTCCCTCGCTGACTAGAACTTTTGCCCTTTTTGATTTCTGTATGGGGGTACACTTTGTGAAAAATTGGTACACCAATTTCAATAATTTAATCACCAATCGATCAGAAATATGCTTCCGATTGTTGATTTTTAACAAGAAACTATTGAAAAACTGGTAAATTTCCAGCATTGTCCAAAAGCGTCGAATTAACTAACAAATCCACCAATTACCTACATGCATAAGCTGCTTCCCCAGCACAGTCATCAGAGAGTAGTAAGTAGACGAAACATGTCAAAGTGGCATTCGCCTCCGATCCTCGGGTGTGTGCGAATAGGGAGGATGGAATTACGTAATATTTTGCACACTCATCGCCATATTCAGAACCAAACGCAAATTCTTCGAGATAACCACCATCCGTCGTCTAGCTCGCCGTGGCGGTGTCTGACGTATCTCCGGTCTGATTTACGAGGTGAAAAATGAGATCCGTGATGCTGTCACCTACACTAAACACGCCAAGCGTAAGCGGCCATGGATGTCATCTACGTTTTGAAGTGACAGAGACGCACTCTGTTTGGTTTCGGAGGTTAAATCACCGACAAACCAACATGAATGACCATAGCAAAAACAATAACATTTCTGACTAAAGCACACTACTGACATCTGGCTCCGTGTTCGCGGGAAATTTTCACCTAATCCATGAACCCGCATGCAAAAGTTATGAATTGTTCGTGTCTGATCTATTCTGGACAAATTATTTTTATCTAGATAAAAAATCCTATGGTTTGACAGTTCGGATCACTGCACATTTAAATCGGCCGTTTACGATTTTCGGACATAAGTCAGAATTAAGTGTCATGTCGGTTTGTCGGTGGTTAAATCATCACCAACTTTGGGAACAAAACGGCTCCAAGCTTATTACAGTAAAGAGTAGGAAAAGAATTCATCTGCCTGTTTGTCCATATTCACAACCAACGATCACACAAAATTCTCATGTAAACAAACTGGAAGCAGGGGTACAAATTATTTTGATCAACCTTGATCAACTTTGAATCGCCACGGCCGGATATTTTCGATGGAAGAAGCAACAATCTAGCATCTAATTCGACGAAACATTTGTGAAGCCGAGTTATTTATGAAAGAGAGTGTCGATGAAGAGAATCGATCAAGGTATATAGGACCTATTGAAAAGTGACGCGAGATTTGTTTTCCGTACTGAGCTCCAATGCTACCGACGCCAGGGAGGCAGCTCCCACACCTGGACCCTACCAATCGACTCATCAACTCAACCGGGGACCAACGGCTTTACTTCCCGAAGGATCAGAGATGTTATGCCTTAGAACATGCCGGTTTGAGTTTAGTTATCTCAGAAATAAGAAATAAAGTGCAGGAACTCAGCGATGAGTAAATTTGCCTCATGTTTTCCCAGGTTTTTTCAGGATTTTCCAGGGAAAAATTCCTGAATTTGAGAAAAGTAAAGATTGGATTCACTAAGTCTATTGGCACAGACAAACAGACGTAACACTTTGAAAAAGTTTTTCCTGAAAACATAGTATCTCAAAACATAGGACCTCAGTAGCGACATCTTTCAGGCTTCTCGCGGAAAACAAGCTTGCTCGCTAACTCGCAAACAATATTGCATAAAAGTTCTATAGAATGTATAGAAACGTCAAAGTGATCCGATGCCAGCGCTGCGGCGAGTAGTTCGCGGAACTGATAATATTCAAATCAACCGTTAAATGCGTGAACGAAGATACACAATGAAGAGTTACGTGCTATTGGTACCACTCCGAGACTGAATAAAATTTTCGTCAATTTCCTCATTTTCTGGCAGATTTTTTAGGTTTTCCACAGGAAACCATGAAACAAATTTACTCATCACTGAGATCCTGCACTTTTGGCGATTATGAGTGAACTAAACTCAAATCTGGGTCGTTCTCATTCGCCGTGTACGCAAAAGGAAAAAAAAAACCGGTGTCGCTACTTGATAGCAAACTACTCATAACGGGAGAAGTCTTTGTAGCTTTTATACCACTTGGTTGCACATCATTCTGCTTTAACCTGAAAAGATATAAAAGAGCGCTGCTGTATGGCATTAGCTCATTTTCGCTTCGGACAGCGTGGTGAACAGCAATAGCAACAGTAGGAAGGTGGTGGCTAGTCCACTCCTTCACAAACAAGCAACAATTGACTGGTCGTGGTAAAGGAGGAAAAGGTCTGGTAAAGGAGGCGCCAAGCGTCATCGCAAAGTTCTTCGAGATAACCGCCATCGGTCGTCTGGCTCGCCGTGGTGGTGTCAAACGTAATTCCGGTCTGATCTACGAGGTGTGCTGAAGGTGTTCCTGGAAAATGAGGTCCGTGATGCTGTCACCTACACTAAACACGCCAAGCGTAAGTGGCCATGGATGTCCTCTTCAATAAAACGGGCCATCAAGCTTACATCAGTAAAGAGTTGTAATAGAATTTAGCTGTGCTTGTTTGTCCATATTCAGAACTACAAGCCCCCAACGACCACACATAATGCTCTCCAGAGTTGTAATCTTGTAATCAAACTTGGAAGCAGTGGTGCAAGTGATTTTGATTGATTCTTTTAATCAACTTTCTCTTTGAAAAAGATCACTACA